AAAAGTGAATAATGGAGTTTACCCTTAAAAATTGTGAAGTTTTGTATGGAAGATTTTCAAACCTGTGTTAGAGAAAAACTGGAAGTTGTGATGTACAGGAGATATCCCCAATTTTTGAACCATGTAGAAGTACTATGTTGTGTGAGGAATACCTATACTTAGAAAAAGTTTTAAATTATTATTAATTCTGTTAACATATTCTATTATATGAATTTTTAGAGAAAAAAATTTGAAATAAGAATATGTGGTTGTCCAGAAGAAAGAAAATTTACTTATTATACTAACAGTGAAGTTGAAGCAAGAAATCTATTATATTTATGTAAAGTGAATCATCAGTATTATTTAGCTACTCGAACACAAGTGCAGATTCTTAAAAAACTTGAACAAGAAGGTAAATTTTCATTTCTTATAGACTTTTATTGACAAATTAAATATAAACCACATACATATGATGTGTTTCAATTATTTTAGTTATACTTTTTTTTTTGTCTAAAACCAGTTAAGAAGTAAACAAATATTTTTATTACTTATTTTATTTCTCTTTTATTATAATAAAGTCACAACTATATATAAAATGTATTATTTTTGAACAATATTTAAAAATATATAAAGCAATTTATGATTGTGTAGAAATAATTATCTAAATTGTTGTGTCCTTGAACACTGTAGTTTGCCAAATTACATATAAGTTTTTAATCTTTATGTGCCAGATATTTGATTATTTTATCTTTTTATAAATTTATAAATAAAAAATAGATCTAAAACATAGTTGTTATAATCTGTTTAAAGCATATTTATGTTAAGAAATTTAGATAAGATAAGAGAAAATATTTTATTGGTACATATTTTATATTTTATCAAAAAAATTATCACAATTTTTGTATTATTTTGATTTTCTCCCTATAATATATACTAGTTTTAAATTATATTTTAATTAAACAAACTGTAACCTTTTTACAATGAGATTAGTTTTTGGATTATCCAGTTTAGGTAGTTTATATTTTAATTTAATTACACTTAATTCTAGTCATGTTAAAGATTTGTATTTGATTTTTGCTTTTCAATGAATCAATTATTATATATCATTATTAAAACTATGCTGAAATTGTATTTTTACTGTTGTAATTTTAAAGTGAAATTGCTAATGAATCATATTTATTTCTTTTGTAGTTTGTCAGTTGTGCTTATAGCAATTACTNGTTTTTTTATTTAGTTTTTATCATACTTAATATTTAATATAATATCAATATAATATAATTATCAATATAAAATTTAATAGAATTTTCTTGGAGAAGTAAATCTTTAGAGAAACTATAGAGTAAATGTAAAATAATTTTACAATTTCAAATGTAAATTGTATTGATTTATTTATTTCATCCAGTACATTAAGTGTGACTTATCAAAACACAAAATTCTGTAACTAGCAATCATATTGCAATTTCAATGTGACTTCCTGCCATTGTAAGGCATATGTTCCATCAATAATAAATTTTTTGTTATTACTCTGGCTTCTATCTGAACTGTGACATCTATAATAGCATTCCTGATTCTGATCTTGAAAACATTTAAGCGATACAATTAATACCATCTCTTCGATAAATCCTTATATTTCTTACAAAGAAATCCACTGAGATGAGGTCTGAAGTGAGACAGCCAGGATATTGTGCTAACTCAACTGAACCAATGAACATTAAAAAATGGCTGTACAGAAAACACACATTGTAATAATATTTATATGCTTTGAAAATTTATCTTACTGCCAATCAGGAATTACTATTTATTTATTATTAAATTATACATTCTTTAAATGTCTGCTCACTTAACAAAATTCACAAGAACATTTCAAAGTTTAATATCACTTATTTTTAGAATGTAAACATTCTAAATAAACCATTATGCCATGCATAACATTTTGCATTTTTAAAATTTTGAAGTGTTTATATTTTATTATGAAATTGTTTTATACTTTTGAAACTTAATTTTAATTAAAAATAATTAATGCCAGAAGGAATACTAATTTTTTTTCTTTTTAATGGTGTAAAGTCTAAATACTTAACAAACATTAAATTCTATAATTAAAATCTGACAAAGATTACTTCTCTTAATTATAATCAAATTTTTTCATAATGTAGAAATTACATAATTTTTGGGTATAATAAACCAACAATAAAAAGTATTTAAAAATTTATTTAAGTAACATATACTTGTCTGTCTATTATAAAATATTATTTAACTTTCCATTTATTACTCTTATTTTATATTATTAAATATGATAATGTAAGATTAATAATAATACATAAAATTTAAAAACTTGATTACTTATGAGTTGTCAAATAATATAAATAATTCTACAGAATACATACTCACATTTGTTAATTTAAATATTCTCTGAGTGAAATAAAAAGCTATATTAGATATTTATACAGGATGATTCAAAAATATTGTTTAGCCACTTGAAGAGAGTTGATTTTACTATAAATGTAATACTATTGTGTTTTTTTAAACATACATCTTTTGTTTTACATTAAATATCTGATGAGATATTTGATTATTTTGAATAATTTTAAGATGCAAAGTTGAAGAATGATCCTTAAATATATACTATGTTATTAGTGGTGTAATCCCATCAGGCAAGTGAGTTGTATTTGACCTACCTGAAAATTTGAGATGCATCAGATAAATTCTGAGCAGTAGTACAATGATGTACAGCAGTACAGCTAGAGAAGCAAAACTTAAGTGCTTAACATATTCGCTTTACTAAGCAAAGCTTTTCGGACCGCAACGAGCATCATCAGGCAAAATGATATACAGGATTTCAAACTAGAAATACAAGACAAAAAAAAGAAAACAAAGATTTTGAAACATTGTTTTCAAAACAGAAATAATAGTTCAAGGCTGATTAATTGGCTAACCAGTCACTTAAAAAAATTTAATAAAAATAACTCTTAATGGATTGGATGTTAAGTCAGCCATATTTCAACTGATTTAATTCAGAATTTAAATGGGTGGGTCACAAATTAAAAATGAAATGTAATACTAAACTCCAAAGAAAAATATAATCTCTTTAAACTGACAAAATAAAACCATAAAATTCACTATCTTCCCCAGTAGAATTTTATAGCTTCATTCTGTTATTAATTTTAATAAGAAATTTAAACCAGTACAATAAATAACTTTTCCATTGAGGGAGTAACAGATCAGAAGCAAATAGTCCATACAAAACAATTACCTTATATGATATCAAGAAGATTGGATTCTTCTGGAGTTAAAATGTTTGAAACTTCTATCAAGACATATTTCAACAAGGAGAGNTTTTTTTAAAAAAACAGTCACACATGCATATAAACAATCAAGCACCACACATCTGGGAACTTCATTCTGAGTCCAGTGGAGGTCTGTCATAGTAGCACCAACACTGGAAAGCATGTGGAATTCTCTGCAATGACAAAGAAAACAGAACAGAAGGCTCTATTTAGTCGTGTAGAACCAATTTCAGACCTCCCAAAAAATGTATGAGTTATATTTAACAACATACATATAGTTTACTAATTAAACATTAATTAAATAATAATTACTAAAATTTATTTCTACTTACATAGAAGCTATTATAAAATTATTTTTTGATATGTAATTGTATGGTTCTCTAATTCTTACTCCTTAAATTGGAAAATGTATTTCTGTAATTTTCATAAATTTAATTTTGGAGTTCTGACATTTAGTGCTTTAATTTGCATTTAATTATTATTAATCTTGAATAAATATTAGATAATATACTCAAGTTTAGTTTGAAAGTGTGCCAAATAGCCAGGGAAAAAGAGAGAACTAAAAAAACAAAAATAAATAAATGATCAAGAATAAAAATATTCTATTACAATATTCCAATATCAAAAAATAATCTTGTTTTAATATCTATTTTTTAAGTTCTTCTTTAATTTAACGTATACTTTATATTTAAAAAATAATAATAATTCTAATTTAAATATAAACCAGTCTCAAAAATTATTAAAAAATTCATTCTGACTTAAATTATATTTTATGAGACAGCTGCATGACATTGGCAATACTGAAAGAAAAAAAAAAAGCAATAAAATAAAAAAATTATATCTGAAATCATTTTAAAATATAAATATTAAATATTGTTTTCTATTAAAGTAAAAACTAACAAAAAACTAAGGGTTTCAATTACATATTTATAAGCTTTTGATTTATTAAGTTTTAAAACTATCTTTAATTAGTAAGAGTTCACTGATGCACAGAAATAATTTCAAAAATACTTTTTAAGAATAGTCATTTCACCAAACTAATCATTCTATCTTTAATATTTTTTAGCTCTTTTATATAGTAAAGCTGTATTCTAAAATGTTAGAGAAAAATGTGTATTTAAGTGGAAAAATATCAAATTTTGTGTTACTATTTAAATATATTGGAATTCTCAATGTATATATAATGTTTCTTCAACTTTTGTATTATAATTTGTATACAGGATATAATTGCCTTTTGTAGTTTTATTGTAACAGTTTAATTTTGTGTGTATACATTTTCTGATAATTACTTCTATAAATGTGAAAAATTTCATCATGTTTTAATATTAAACTTATACATAATCATCATCTTGTTTTCTTTACTTTACATAGAAAGCAATGAAAAATTATAGAGGTAAAAAAAAAATGGAGAAATATTAATTAAAATAGTTTCTATTAGTGTTAATGGAAAATTATCTTATTGTTTGCTTATCTTTAAAATCTAAACCTTTATAGCAATGTTTGTAAATGTCCAATATTAATTAATATATATATTATAAAATATATCATCTAATTAAATAAATTATTATATTTTATGATATATATAAATTAAAATTAGTTTTTAGGTTGATCTAGTTGTATATGTTGAAATCCTTAATTTTAAAATGATATTATATATATCATTCATTTAAAAATAAATTCTCTTATATATTTTAGTAAAGATTAACTTAATAAAATAACTCATTTTAGAGGCTTTACATTTAGTTTTGCTGATTAATGGATTGATCACATCTTGTCCTCTTCTTTCACTGAACGAATGAATACCTGAAAAACTTACAGAAAGAAAAATTGGAATAGAAAAAAAAAAAAAAAATTCAACAGGAGACCAATAGGAAGAACAAGTATTACTGCACTTAAACATATATTCTCAAATTCTCTTTAATTTTAAAAAGTGCAAAGTGATCATCAGATCCTCCCTAGATATTAATTTATATATATAATAACTTTCAAGCTAGCTTTAAAAATCTTTATTTTTATATTAGATTTCACACTGATTTACATTATTTCTGAATTTATAACTGCCACTTAAGTTCCATTTAAAGTAATATTTTGTGTTTAAAACAGAAGAACGAATTATCTCATAACTTCCAGATAATTTTAAGTTTGAGTAAAGGTCCTTCTGCTTTATTTACTTACCCATATATAAAATGGCCAATAAATTAACTGACCATATTGTGTGTATGTATTTGTATATTTAATTTTGCTGGTTTAAATTTGGCTCAGTTGTAACCAAATGGGTAATTTAGAATACCTTAATTAGCTTGAAAGGAAATGTGGAACTTTTCGTTAATACAGTACTTCTTATTGAAGAAAATTCCTGCACTAAAATAAAAAAGACTACAACAAAATATGGATAAATAAAATGCTAACATAAACAAAATTACTGAAATGCAGATGCCCGATGAATACTTAAGATATTACCATCAAGGTTTATTTTTTTCTGTGGTGGTTCATCCATCGAATTTTCTGCACTTCCATCTCCGTTCTGTAAATTAAAAAAAAGCATTTTCTCAATACATGAATATATCAATATATATATATAAAGAATAGTAAAACATCAATACTGACAAAGATATAATTAATCAAATAATTAACATATGACAAATCATACTGATATAAAATAATTCTTTTTAGTCTGCAAACAAAGTTAACTCTAGAATAGAAAAAAAATATATTGTTTAAAGTATCAATCAAAAACAGAAATTTGCAATGAGTCCTAGCAACTTTTTAAAATTTAAATACCATATACTTCAAAAATTTCTCTCTCATTATTAGTAAAAATTCTTTCCTTCCTTCTCCTATTCATGTTTTCTTACCCTCATACTGGTAAGTACTCACTCTGAAGAATGATTGAATACTTACAAAGAGTATTAACAAACTGAACGAGAAAAAAAGGAAGGCCATGAATTTGATTTACAGTAGACTATCAAATCGAGGAAAAAATCTGCTAAACTTAGAATCCACTTGTAAATATAGAAGTTGCAAGCACTAATGGGAGTTGCTAGCCAATAAAAAAAATCCATCAACGAGTTGCTTAACNATATTAAATATTGTTTTCTATTAAAGTAAAAACTAACAAAAAACTAAGGGTTTCAATTACATATTTATAAGCTTTTGATTTATTAAGTTTTAAAACTATCTTTAATTAGTAAGAGTTCACTGATGCACAGAAATAATTTCAAAAATACTTTTTAAGAATAGTCATTTCACCAAACTAATCATTCTATCTTTAATATTTTTTAGCTCTTTTATATAGTAAAGCTGTATTCTAAAATGTTAGAGAAAAATGTGTATTTAAGTGGAAAAATATCAAATTTTGTGTTACTATTTAAATATATTGGAATTCTCAATGTATATATAATGTTTCTTCAACTTTTGTATTATAATTTGTATACAGGATATAATTGCCTTTTGTAGTTTTATTGTAACAGTTTAATTTTGTGTGTATACATTTTCTGATAATTACTTCTATAAATGTGAAAAATTTCATCATGTTTTAATATTAAACTTATACATTATCATCATCTTGTTTTCTTTACTTTACATAGAAAGCAATGAAAAATTATAGAGGTAAAAAAAAAATGGAGAAATATTAATTAAAATAGTTTCTATTAGTGTTAATGGAAAATTATCTTATTGTTTGCTTATCTTTAAAATCTAAACCTTTATATCAATGTTTGTAAATGTCCAATATTAATTAATATATATATTATAAAATATATCATCTAATTAAATAAATTATTATATTTTATGATATATATAAATTAAAATTAGTTTTTAGGTTGATCTAGTTGTATATGTTGAAATCCTTAATTTTAAAATGATATTATATATATCATTCATTTAAAAATAAATTCTCTTATATATTTTAGTAAAGATTAACTTAATAAAATAACTCATTTTAGAGGCTTTACATTTAGTTTTGCTGATTAATGGATTGATCACATCTTGTCCTCTTCTTTCACTGAACGAATGAATACCTGAAAAACTTACAGAAAGAAAAATTGGAATAGAAAAAAAAAAAAAAAAATTCAACAGGAGACCAATAGGAAGAACAAGTATTACTGCACTTAAACATATATTCTCAAATTCTCTTTAATTTTAAAAAGTGCAAAGTGATCATCAGATCCTCCCTAGATATTAATTTATATATATAATAACTTTCAAGCTAGCTTTAAAAATCTTTATTTTTATATTAGATTTCACACTGATTTACATTATTTCTGAATTTATAACTGCCACTTAAGTTCCATTTAAAGTAATATTTTGTGTTTAAAACAGAAGAACGAATTATCTCATAACTTCCAGATAATTTTAAGTTTGAGTAAAGGTCCTTCTGCTTTATTTACTTACCCATATATAAAATGGCCAATAAATTAACTGACCATATTGTGTGTATGTATTTGTATATTTAATTTTGCTGGTTTAAATTTGGCTCAGTTGTAACCAAATGGGTAATTTAGAATACCTTAATTAGCTTGAAAGGAAATGTGGAACTTTTCGTTAATACAGTACTTCTTATTGAAGAAAATTCCTGCACTAAAATAAAAAAGACTACAACAAAATATGGATAAATAAAATGCTAACATAAACAAAATTACTGAAATGCAGATGCCCGATGAATACTTAAGATATTACCATCAAGGTTTATTTTTTTCTGTGGTGGTTCATCCATCGAATTTTCTGCACTTCCATCTCCGTTCTGTAAATTAAAAAAAAGCATTTTCTCAATACATGAATATATCAATATATATATATAAAGAATAGTAAAACATCAATACTGACAAAGATATAATTAATCAAATAATTAACATATGACAAATCATACTGATATAAAATAATTCTTTTTAGTCTGCAAACAAAGTTAACTCTAGAATAGAAAAAAAATATATTGTTTAAAGTATCAATCAAAAACAGAAATTTGCAATGAGTCCTAGCAACTTTTTAAAATTTAAATACCATATACTTCAAAAATTTCTCTCTCATTATTAGTAAAAATTCTTTCCTTCCTTCTCCTATTCATGTTTTCTTACCCTCATACTGGTAAGTACTCACTCTGAAGAATGATTAAATACTTACAAAGAGTATTAACAAACTGAACGAGAAAAAAAGGAAGGCCATGAATTTGATTTACAGTAGACTATCAAATCGAGGAAAAAATCTGCTAAACTTAGAATCCACTTGTAAATATAGAAGTTGCAAGCACTAATGGGAGTTGCTAGCCAATAAAAAAAATCCATCAACGAGTTGCTTAACTTTCCTAACAAGATTTAAAACACGATGTGCGTGCGCGGTGCCATCTGTTATGTGATATTAAAAGCTTTTTATATTTTTAATTATTATAAAATGGCAAAAAGCTTAATTTTGAGGGAAAGGACAAGTTGAATAAAAAATTATAAATGCTAATAACGAGTAAAATCATCATTAAGTCTGATCCTGCTGGAGATTGGAGATACACACGACTTCCTCCTTTATCTTTCCACCCCCTCGACCTTTAACCACCAAAATTTACTGTCTCTCCACGTGTGCGGCCTGGAGGATTTCTCTCCCCTCTTGCCTCCATCCTTATTCTTTTTGTTTTTCTTAGACTATTTTTTCTATTGTTCTAACACCACTGTGACCGGAGTTCACTTTTTGCCCAAACTTGAAGAAAAAGAGGAGGAAAAAAACAACCTCAAGTTGGTCCAAAAGGTTCTTGTGGTTCCGAGGGTTAAAGGGGAGAAATCTCACTTCTGACTCCAGTGTGACCAGAGGTCCACACCTTTTTGATGCCTCATCAGGACTGACGTCACCGTTTCAAAAGCCACAACGGTGAATTTATTTTATTGTTGAAAGTAGAACCCAGGAAAAAATAAAAAAATAAAAAATACATGATTTCATCATATCTATTTGGATAACTGTTTTCATCTACTACCTGAGAACTTCTCAGTTTGCACATTCTCAATAGAGAAAGTGATGCTTTCCCGTGATCCTTTGACTCCCAGCTTTGCACCACTGTTTTAATATCAGAATTGACAGTCAAACTAGACAGTCATCTCCAGTTTGTCCAGAAGTAAAAGGAGTTGTTGGCCATCCCTCCACAACTCAACAAGTCGCCACCTGGTTCTATAACGAAAGTTGTCGCCAATTCCTCAACTGATACCATTAAACTCTGTGCTTCCGAAACAGATATACAATTGACTCTGAGCAGGAACATTATCCAAAACTCTTCTAACATGCCAACCTTCTAGTTATTCAAGATTGAATCTTGAATCTTCCTAAGGGACAGACCAAATCCTCTCCTGCATCAGATCTGCAAACAGATTCTTCAAACTACAACTATTTATCTCCATGTGAATCTCATGTGAACTCTCTATCTCTCACAACCACTTATACTATATGAGGTCTGTTCAGAAAATACACGGACTGCTTAAATTGCGCAGCTTCAGTTTGTGCCAGGGGAATCAGCTTGGTGTCGCTAGGTTTGTACAGATCATCTGGTGATAAAGCCGTTTCCCGATTACAGATATCTTTATTTGTTGATTAGCTACATGGTTTTTAGTGAAGTGCAATTTTTCATTTGTCAGATTTCAGAATGAATGACCTGATGGAGCAACGACTTGCTATGAAATTTTGTGTTAAAATCTGCGACTGAAACACTTGCTATGCTCAATCAGTGGGTGGGTGAAACATCCCCCAGACCCAAAAAAGCTCGCCAAGATCGATCCAATATCAAGGTGATGCTGACAGTTTTCTTTGATGCTAAGGGTGTTGTTCACCATGAGTAGAGTACCTACCTCCCCAAGGCTCTACAGTGAACCAGACTTACTACGTTGAAGTTCTGAAACGTCTGAGGGACGCCATCCGTCGCAAAAGGCCAGAAATGTGGAGGAGTGGCGATTGGTTTCTCCATCACGACAATGCTCCAGCCCATTTGGCCCTCAGAACTTGTGAGTTTTTGGCCAAACACTCGATTACTGTTCTTCCCCACCCCCTACTCACCCGACCTTATTCCTTGTGACTTTTTCTTTTTCCCCAAACTCAAAAGATTCTTGAAAGGAAAAAGATTTGAGACGATTCCCGAGATTAAGGCAAACGCAACAAAGGCGTTGAAGGACATTACAAAAGAAGCATACCAGGAATGTTTCAACAAGTGGAAACACCGTTGGGATAAGTGTGTGTGTTTGGAAGGAGAGTACTTTGAAGGGGACCCAGACATGTAACTTCTACATAAAGTACATTTTGTTTTATGACATCAGTCCACATATTTTTTGAACAGACCTCGTATAGATCTGTTAATATAATATTGAAGTTTGTATCACATATTCTTTTCCTTTGGAATTAAAGTTATTAATTGTTAACCTAGAGTCTGAGTGCATTACTTCCCTTGCGCTGTATCTCCGACCTCCTCCAAGAGACTCACAGTCTTTCAGATCTCCTCCATCCCGAATCTGATCGTCTCACAATAATAACCTCACAATAACAACACTGACATTAACCCTTGCCTGACCGATTTCCTGTTA